TGTTTTGTTTTCTTTTTATAATTCTGGCGCACATGGCGCATAGGCGGCAGCGCGCGCACAGCGCACAGCGCACGGTGCACAGCGCACAGTGCGCTGTCTGCTGATCCGGCGCACAGCACACAGCGCACCGGCGCGCCCAGCGCAGCGCACACGTGCGCCACAAGTATGATCCTGACCCATCCCTCCAGATGTCAGGGTTTGCAACCTATCAAATGTCAAGTGCTATCTCCAGGACTGCTGTTGTCAACATGGCTTGTCCTCGACCACCATCTTGCCTTCATTCTGTCTCTGCCCAATCTTCGTCTAGAAGACACATGTATCTGACTTTTGCTTACCGTTTGTTGTTCTGGTGTAGTGAAGTGGGACGCTGTAGATGTCCGCGACTTCATCGCCTGGCGTTTGGACTGACAGTTCCGCACCTCTGTTGTCCTGTGTACTTCATTGTCGTCGTGCTTTCGTTCCGTCTCTCCCCAACCTTCGTCCAAAAGATGCGTGTATCACACTTTCGCTTACTGTTTGTTGTTCTGGCATAGTCAGGTGGGACGTTGCAGATGTCAGTGACTTCGTCGCCTGATGTTTGGACTGCCAGTTCGGCACCTCTGTTGTCCCGTGTACTTCTACCCTCGTCTTGCTTTCATTCCGTATTTCCCCGATTTTTGTTCAAAAGATGCATGTATCAGACTTTTGCTTACTGTTTGTTGTCCTGGGGTAGTCAATTGGGATGTTGCAGATGTCCAAGACTTCATCACCGGACGTTTCGATTGCCAGTTCGGCACCTCTGTTGCCCTGTGTACTTTTACTGTGGCCTTGCTTTCATCCTGTCTCTCCCCAATCTTCGTCTAGAAGATGTTTGTGTCTGACTTTTGCTTACTGTGTGTTGTTCTGTACTTCATTGCCTGAAGTTTGGACTGCAAGTTCCGCACCTTCAGCTCGGCTTTTTTTTCCCCAATGTGTGTCGGTGTGCTTCCCTTACAAGTCTCCCATATGGTGTGCTTGCCTGTTGCCCGCCGTCTGTGGCTTTCAATTTTTCTGCGTTGGAGCCTGTACGTTGTGTTGACGTCAGCGACCTTGTTGCTAGGCTATGTCGACGGGTACTGCAGCCGCAGGATTATTTGACTGTCCAGAATTTGGCTGTTGGGCTCCCTTTCTGTTTGTGCGCCTGCTTGGTACATCTAGGTAAATGAGCTTGAAACTTGACACTCAGAGCTGTAGATAGAGGTGATGACATTTTCTGAGAGAATTAGTGCATGGACACCGTACCCCAGTCTGTGCTTTGAGCCTCTGACTCACACTTGCGGCCTTCATTCGGCGAGTTCTGCTCTGTACAGGAGGTGGTGTCATAGGTCTCCCTTTACTTACAGACTTGCAGCCTTAATTGCTTACGCTGCATGACCCCTGTCATCTGAGCTTGGCGCATGCGAGCGCTTGACAATGTCTGTGTCTTGCTGAACATGAATGCTTGGAACGATCATTTCGCTGGTTGTTTTCTGTGCAGTCCTGCTCTGGTGGAGAATCGGGTCGCAACCATACAGTGTCTGTCCGGGACTGGCTCTCTTCGCGTGGGAGCAGATTTTCTTGCTGCTCATTATCCTAATGTGAGTGTGAACCCTATCGGCCTGTGGGCATAGCCTTCGGCGGGTCAATTTCCTCATTGAATTTCTCCTCCCTGTGCAACGACGATATTATATTGCAGAGTAAATGTGGAGTCTGTTGGGTGAAACCGATTGAAGAGGTGTTCTGATTGTCAAAAAAAATAGTAATTCCCTTTTCCTTGGAGGTTCTAGGTTGCATCCAAGTGATGCGTGGACGGCTAATATATACAGAGGAGTAATCCCTTTTTGGTAGTTTGAAAATCGGAAGCTGAGCTGCGATTACCCATCCTGACTAGATGTATCTCAATACTTCCCTATCTTTCTTTTTTGTTTTTTCTTGTCATTGCGCAGGGCCCATGCTAATCTTCTCTGTATCATTCCAATTTTAACGGTCGTCCCGAAGGACAATACTTCCGTACACTTGTAGAAATCGCTAATGTGAGAAATATGGCATCCCGGCCGTCCGCGGTCCTAATGGACCGACGGCCCAGATCGTGGCACAATCATAAACCACAAGTACACCCACACCTGATTTAAACGAACCCGAATCTCACTGTGCACCGAGTTTTGCCGAGCCTGGGTCCCGTTGTATTTTCTTTTCTCATACTCCTCCCAAATGAACAAGGGAAAAAAAAAAAAAGAACCAAAAAAAAAACAAACACAACAACGCTATGGACGAGAAAGCAATTGTATACAGAATCAGGGGTCAGTTTGAGAGTATGCCCTCGGTGAGGGCGTTTACAACTCCGCTGTCGCATACCGTAAAGTTGCAGACCAGAACAAGAACCGACCTCTCTCACATAGTACAAGATAGCACAGCGGAAGGCTTAAATACCAATGATCCGAACAATCAATGTTGCAATGCAGACTAGACATCATCATCATTCCATGTTGTGAAGGGGCCTGGCGCTCACACAGGAAGAATGTGCCAATCCCCAACCATACACAGACGAAGAGGAGGGGGGTTAGACGAAGAAGAGGGGAAGAGGGGAATGTCGTGAACACCAAGTCTTCGGTACAGGTCACAAATAATCCCTCGTTAAATGTCTGAATCCCAATGTCGAGTCTGGATACAAATGCCACCAATCTCTCTCTCTATCATAGTCTGCAGATACTGAGAAGGTAGGTAGCGAGAGGGTGAGGGAGAGATGGTGGACATTAGAGGAAGAAGAACGCTCTCTCTCTCTCTCTCAGTCCTGTACTAACCTGTGAAGGTGTTGCGTTGTTGCAGGTATATCGAAGACGAAGCTGGAGCTATGGCGCCACAGGTAAGTTTCCCTGGCCTCCGCCAACCATCTCTCTCTTTCCAACGCTAGTCTAGCTCCTAATAGCGCCCAGTGCTGAAGACTACTGCGAACACTACTACTACTACTGCAGCGCTCCTCCAGAGTGCTGCTGCCGAATCCTGAAGACTGCCTCCTGCCTCCTGCACCTGAAGTCTTGGAAGTCCCTAGGAACTACCTCGTGACTGCCTGCAGGCTGCAGGGCGGGCCAGTCTTATATAGTGATGGCCCGTTCAGGGGGCTGCTCTTGCCAATGCCAAAACGTGCCAGATCCTGGTGTTGAAGTTCAAACAAAGGTTGTCTTGAAAACAGGCCCAGAATGGCCTGTGCTAAAACCCTGGTCTGGTGCCAAAGTTTCAGGGCAGGTTGACTTTATGAGGGCCTGAAAATGGCCCTCGTTTTCAGGCTTTTAGGCTGAAACGTCTCAGGGCCTGTAGGCCCTCGTTTTCAGGCTTTCAGGCTGAAACGACACAGGGCC